TATAATTAAACTCTTATTTGACACGAAGTTTATTAAAGCATTTGAGGAAGAAAATTTTACTCAATTCAAAAGTGTTTTAAGTTTCGGTTTAAGTATAATGTTTCCATGCAATAATGAAACTTTCGGAACATTCTACATAATTAAATATCTTTATTTGTAAGATTTGAAGTCTAAGGTGAATTTTTACCTTGTTGACTCACTTTATGTCAGATTTGTAGAGATAATCATAGAAAATAGATTAGGTGTTCAGTTGATAATCAAGTTTTAGTCAGAAGGCTTGAGGCAGCATTTTAATGTACATTTTCTTGATGATTTTGATTCCAACTGAAACATTTTATTGAAAAATTGATGTTAAAATTATGTGCTTGATATATTAATTGATAATAATGGTAACATTGAATTACTTTAATAGAATAATGTTTTAAAACAGAAACATAATGTCAGTGTCAATATCTTCTCTTTCAACCCAATAACCTACATTATCTGCTCTTTTGTGGGTCAAGAGAATTACATGAATCAGTGCACTTTTAATCTGGACTAATTTTACCTCTAGTATAGGTTGAATTCTATATTTGTATGTTTAATGTGGATGACTGGATAATAGATTACAGCAGGAAGTTTGAAATACCAGTGATATTTCTTTTCTAACCACTGACTATAATATATCTACAGTGTTTATAAATATTATCATTTAACCTGTGGGAACTAGCTTTCTCTTTTCATTTCAGAAAAAAGTATCAATTTATCTAAACATTGGTTCTGACATTAATTCTGTAAAATCTCTTGAAATTAGTCAGACATTTTATATGATATTACATTATTTTCATGATTAATATTTGATTTCAAAACCTGCTTTAATTATTACATTATTTTCTCCATCTGATTTGCAAAACCAGCGTTGGTTCTCAAAATGTTGATGTTTGCTTGTGCACTTATAAAAGATTTCCCATGGAAGATTTTTTTATTTTAATTTGAAGGATGTTCTCTCTTTCGCTTAAAGTTCAAGGACTTTGCATTATGATTTTCGGTCAAGTACCGGTATTTATTATTAAAATCTGAAAGGTGGAGCTGGTTATTCACAAATAATAATAACAATATTTTACTTCAGACACCATAAATACCTAAATACCACTGTAACTATGATTTAGTATATATAATAGTATATAATGATAATAACCAGTTAAAAACTACCCCCCATTTTATCAGTAAATAAATAAATTATTAGTAGGGTAGAAAGTGTGATGTATATCATCTGATAACTGAGAAGCTCTGCTCACAATCAAATATTTCACTAAATATACGAGTCACCTATTATAAACTCAGTGTTCACCAAGGAAAAAACTCCCTTTTGTTACTTTGCAATGTTGAAAATAGGATAAAGGAGTGGAAGGGGTTTAGGCAAGGTTTGCTTGTTTACAGTATTAGAAAGCAGGTCATTGGTTTAAAAGCCACGTGCTGTATAGACTTGATAATATTAGAGAGTAGATCATACACAAGGCGAAGAGTTTATATGCTTGGTTGATCAGTATTTAGTAGTGAGTTGAACGAAGGATATTTATGTGTTTTCTTGTATAATATATATAGTAATTGTTATAGTATACCAATATAGGATATTAACTATTGTTCAAGGTTGGTAATATATAACTCCTAACATAATCTAACAATGTTTTTTGTTGATTGAAGTTCGCTACAACTCCATTTATAGTAAGTGTAAGGTTCAACCAACAGCGTTATGTAAGATCATTGGCTATTTCCTTGCTCAGCTTCATTTGAATTTCAAAAGAAAAGTTTTTATTTGTTGCACTTGAACCACAAGTCAATATTGACTTTCTATTTCCAATCTTTGAGTGTTTTATTCTGAATCGTGTACGTGTATATTTTAAACGTGTATATAAATTATTCTCAGTTTAACAGTGTTGGAATTTAATTCTAAGAGGTAATATTTCAATCAAATTGCTGACATTTTATAACTTTCTAACATGTCTATTTTTTTGTCATTCTGTACTAAGTGGTTGAATGTGTATTATGATAAATATTATCTGAAGAAGTTTTTTTTTAAAATGAAGAATATAGATATGCTTGTCTTACTGTTTTTGATAGGAGCATTGAGAGAGGTACAGAATGGTCATTGGCTAAATAATATTTTATTTGAATTTTGCTGGATAAATAAAGGGAAAGAGGGGGGAACCATTGATGGATAAATTTGACAGGGAAAATAAAGTGAAACACTTCATTTTGACAATTACCTTATCTGATAAGCTGTCCTTTAAATGGTTGTCTTAAACATTTTCTTTATGTTGGATGTATATGATGTAGTTCAGTGTTCTTTCATCTTAGTACTAAATTGATTTGATTAAAAGTTGTTTGAGTTTTGATTAAAAAAAGTTGAATTATAAAGGAAGTAGTATAAGATATTCCCACGTATATTAGATATATCTGAGCTATATTATTATACAAATTATGATTGCTTAAAAAAGTTGAAAGCAGAAGTGATCTTGTCAAACCTGATTGATTATTTATTCATTCAAAAATGTCTTTGAACATTGAATATAATTGATTGAATTTTTAGGATAAATTTGAAATATCTTTTTGTGTTTGAAAGTGATAACTATAGGATATTTTTACTGATTATTTCTTACATTTTCTTCTAATCCTGTTGTGGTATGATTGGTTGATTGAATCAGTTGGAGGTAGTTGTTCATTGTGATTTGATGATTTTGACGTAGTTGATGTCAAGTGATCACAATAATATGATGTGAGAAACTACTTGTTAGGCAATTAACTTGACTATTGTTACATCTTAAAACGGAAATGGACTTTTAAAGCCTGCAATTTTCAAGATTCTACTGAATGATAATGGTTATTAGTTAATGAATTACCTCGACAGAACAAAACATGTTGACAAGTCAGACATTATAGTTCAATTGTGTTGAGCAGATTATCATTTTTTCATCATTTTTTCATCATTTTTTTCTACAATTTTAGAATACAGGATCTGTTGCAAGTTGAAACACTGTGAATCTATTTGCATTAAAATGATACTGATATTTAATGTTTAAATAGCTATTGATACTATAGCATGTACATACTGATTGCAACATTAATAGAAGGGTTACATTATTTTTTAGTATACTCATGTTAAATTTGAAATATTTCAATGATTTTGAGGCAAACATTTACTGACATGTTGTTTACTGATCTGACAAATTGATTTACTATAAAACCTGTCAATAATCTAATATCCTAAACATAAAATAATAATCGATGAAGTAAATTGCTGGGTACGCATGGCTTATTTGTTTATCATTTTCTTCATATACCTTCTATATTCGTTTGTGCTGACTTTGTTTCTTTGTGTTTAATACACAAAATTTTCTGGTTGGTTTATTCAGGTAGAAGTTTTGATTTAATGAAATATGTCAGTAGTAACTTTGTGAGGTTTAGATCAGACTAAAGTTGTCACATGGGTTTAATTGGTATAGTAAACTTGTTGTAAAAGTTAATCTGGTCGTATTCTACCAGGTGTAAATGTTGTTATTTATTTGTTTATGGATGTCGAGGTTTATTTACTGTAATATGTAAATTGCACAGTGTCTATAACTACGCTATTTTTAATACAGGACATACAGTGAGAATGGAGTAGTACAAGTTTCGTCATCAAGCAAGCGTTACTATCAACTAACAGTGTGTTATGACCATAGTCATGTGTTTGGAGTACCTGTTATTGTTCAATGATTGAATCAAATAGCGTGGGCCACCAGTGTGAAGAGATAGAAAGGAAAGGCAGATCTCTGATTAAACATTGAGGTATTTCTACATAACCTTTACTCTCAATGAAAGGTGGAAGTGTAGTATAGACCCCAAATCAACCAGTTTTCTAGTATGTGTGAAATAAATTAAGAGAATTCAGCCAGTGAAATGTGATTTTAAATTCAGTGATGTGTAACTGAAAAAATTAATAAATAAAAAAACCAGTGAGATATCTTATACACCACATGATAATTGTTTCTGCAGACCATTTAGATTTTAACTGTCAACTAGTACTCCACTGTGAATGAGAATATTTTTAACATAAAGGATATAAAATGACTTAAATTGAATAAATTTGGACAGTGAATTTGTGTTTTATTTACATTTTCAAGGTGTGCTGAATTCTTATGGTGTCAATACTCAGCCATGGGTAATAAATCATCTTCTCATAAAGATTCTGAAGGATTTCCTGAAGCTCGGGGCAGAAGTTGGTCATTCAATGGATTAGCATCTAGAGCAAGGAAGGCCAGTCGTAGTCCGTTACGTCCTAGAGCTTCTTCCTTATCAGAGACAAATAAGAACAAAAAACCTACAACTGCCGTGAAATCTAACATTCCAGCTAGCGTGAGTGAAAACACTGGTGACAAAAGCTTATCAGGTAGTCTACAGTCAACAAATGTACGTAATTCATTGGGTCGGCAGGCTGAACTGATTCGAGAAACTATGAATAGGAGGAGTTGTGAAATTAAAGGAGTAAATCCGTCTGTGACTAGTGGTAATAATGATAATCGGTTGTCAGGTAATTTTGACAAACGTCTATCCGGAAACTTTGACAAGAGATTGTCGGGTAATTTTGACAGTAGTGTTTTAACAACCTCTAACAATACATTAAATAATACAGAGTCTACTGTTACTAATAGTAAAACAAATAGAGGTAATGTCGTGAAGGATGATAATGTTTTAGATTCAACCAGAACAACTGATTCAGGGTACAATACAGCTTCACGAAGACCTCCATTAGCTGAGGTGGAAGATTTTGATGATGATGCTTCAGCTGCTGAAATAAGGAAAATATCTCAAAGTTTATATAGTGATAAATTGTTAGAGGTTTGTCAAAGACGAGGTGTAGCCAGTTTAAATCGTGATCTCTCTCTATCTCAAGGCGATATTTTATCAACTATGCCTAGTCCATTATTACGGAATAAAGGAAGGGCAGTGTCACACCAGAGTCTGGCATCACCCTACCAAAGTACAGACACTTTGGATAAATCTTCTGCGAGACCACTCTCCAATGAAAATTTGGATTCATTACGCAGGAGGAAAAAATCTATATCAAAGGAACTAGAAGCAGATGACCTGAGTTTTCAAAGCCGACCAAGAACAAACTCCACTACAGTTTTAGAACTTCAATCTCAAAATCGGAAAAACATTACTATGGGTATTGAAAAGTTACGTCAAACATATCAAATTGCAAAACCTGCAGGATCATCTACATTGCCTAGTTCACCTACCAATTCACCAGTAAAACCAGAAAGTTTCAAAGCACAGAAAGTTCTATTGACAAGATCCATGAAAGTTGAGAGTCCTAGTTCTGTGGAGAAGGAAACCAACAATAATTCTTTTAAAAAATTAGCAGTGAATAAGGAAAGTAGTCCGAGTAAAATCTACGGACCTGGTGGAGGGATATCATTACCACCAAAACCTTCTTATTCTGTGAGACCGCTTGGTCATTTTAAACCCCTGCCAGAAATCCATGAACATGGTATGCTAAGTTCTAGTGTGCCTGTTCAGTCAGGATACATTGAATATAGTCCCAACCGATTCACTCAACATAGTGTGGATGATACTTATTTACCCAAACGTAGCAGTAGTATCACAGATATGGCACCCAGGATGAGGAAAAGTGTCCCCAGTCAGTGTAGTCATTCAACACTTCCTGAACTCGAGGAGAGTTTACGTCAGAGAAGTCAGAGTGTGTTATCATTACGCAGTGCTTCAGGACAACCTATTGGTCAGTTCCATACAGGATCTTTATATTACCAGGTTGTATCTCCCGAAAGAGCTTGGAATTACAGTGTGACAAGTCTAGCAGGTGATCCAGCCTCAGCCAGACGACAACTTGATTTTCAAGGTAAGTCTTATCAATAATAGTTTAGAAAAAGGAAATTTGTATTCTTGCACATAAAGTGCAATCTGGGTCCTACCACAATGAGATCAGTCAGAACTCCTGATATATAGCTATGAAAAGGATTCTCATATCATTTCCCATAACTACATCATCTCATCCTTTCTAAATAAAAAGGATGTGGTTTATGTGTCGTTTAGGTGCAAATTTTATGAGGGAAAGTAGAGTTATAAATAACTGTTTACAAATAATACAAACAGGTTTATTTATATGCCTAACTTTTATTTATAGAAAACATTTTATTTTTACAAGAAAATATATCCCTTATATTTATGTTCAAAATTAGTCCAATACATTTTAAATTATTAACAATACTTTCAATATATTCAATTTCAAATACATTTAGAGCAACAAATCAAAATGTGATAACAGTTCAAAGAACTCAAAAGTAATTAGATTCATTTCAAATCCTAGAATAAAGTGTTTATTTTTGTACATTATACTTATAATAGGGTATATTCAATTTTATACAAACAATTATGTGATCTAATTTCAAAGAACACATAGTAATAAGATTCCTGTCAAATCAAATTAATAGTTTAACAGGTATAGAATTTTTTTTTCTTTATGCATTTCATTTTCTATCTTATAAGTAAACCCTATAGATTTCACCCTAATGTGATCAGCTTTAAAAAGATTTGACAAATCATACACAATACTTTCATAAATACAACAATTTATTTCCAATATATGAATAAACTCTTTTAATAGAAATTATTTTTCAGTAATTTCCTATAAAATTGTTAAAGAGACCAATGTTAAGATGTGAAGTCAAGAAAAAAACATTGATTTATCAGGAGCATCTTTAAATGACCTAGTATTAGATAAGGATATCCTGTTACATGTTTATAAAAACTGAAACATTGAAATCTTATCTAATACAACTTCTCTCTATATCCTGATAGAAACCACTATATTACTGTTATAGATCACAACCTTTATCTTTTCTCTTTTACAGTTTTAATTTACACATATGAATGGATTTGCTTTTATTCCTTTAAATGTATGTTGGTGTAATATATTAAATCAGATATTATAGAGCATAAAGTCAGAGATTTTACAGCATAAATTCAGATTGAAATCAATTTCAGTTTTCAGAGTGTGAGCAATTCACAGAATTAGTTTGAGTAAGGAGATAAAGCTGTAATCTGACAGCATATTTAGAGCTGAAAAATAAATTATGACATGCCCCTCTTGAATTTAGATATTTCTCATTGCCATAAAAATTTTATAAAAACTGAAGGCAATTACGATAAGATTGCAGAAAACAAACTCCCTGAATTTTTATCAAATTTATGTTTTTGAGGACAAATTGACACTTATGCACCCCACCTTGCAATTAACTGAGTGCAGTGTCTTGTTATTTTCAACTTCATTCCACTTGTTATAAATCTAACTTTAAACTCAACAAATTACTATATAACTTCAAGATCACAAAACATCTTATAATAAAATGAACCTACATAATATTTGTATGCATTAAAATTTGTTATTCAAAATTTCTTGACTATTATAAATTTTTAACTTGTTAGTAAACTGAAGACAGAGATAATATTGTGGGACCTTGATCTAGGTACAGGGATTTATTAGAATACATACATGTACATGTACATATAAATAAATGTGACATATTAATAATGATATTAATAGTATAACAAGTCTAAATATGATATTCTCATTAACAATGTTATTATCAGGTTATTATATTAAATATTATTATCTTATATCATTATTAATATATCACACTGGGCATTATCAGGAATTATAAAGGAAGTCCTTCAGACTTGTTGCTTGGTTTCCTGCTTGTGAAAACAAATATGCTGCAAGGATAATCTTTTCAGCAAAATGCAATCCAATTTTCATAGTGAAATATTTCTTATCTTATAATCGATATAATTGTTCTTATAAATAGTTAATTAGCTGAAACCAAACTGTTATTTTATATTTTGAGTTTCTTTTTGTGGATCCGATTGCTAGTACTTGGGTTTTTATTCTGAATTTTCAGATCAATCATTAGTATTTCCTTAAAATTTAATATTTGTGCAGGTTTGAGTAAATAAAATTGTAAACAGTTCAACTATTATTAACAAGAGAATAGTTTGAAATTAGTAGATAATACCAGTGTTTATTATAGAAGTTTAATATATCTATGAGATATTCACCATCAAGCTGGTCAAACACTTCAATCTTTTACTCAAATAAATCTGGCCTCAAGTATCAGGTAATCTCTTATAATGATGTTACTTTCTTACTAATCTACATTGATTTTCACAATTAAAGGTAATTTTGGTTAGTAATCTGTGACAATATTGTAGTAATCAGGGTATATATGATTCATAATGATAGTAAGAGAAAGAGAGTATGTGCCAGGACAGCTGTAATGCAATCCAACTTTAAATGAGACAATAGAGAGATAATACATAAATGCAAAAAAAGACACTTCCAAAAGTTTGTCGTTGTTCTAATGCAGGGTATTTGCATTGACTGGCTTCACATAAATAGAAATTGTGACTAAGTAATGCCTGTTAGTGGAAAACTATATATTAAATTGTATTAATATTATGATGTCAAATTTAGTGTTATATTAATATCAATGTAGGCAATCATCCTTGTTTTAGGAACAGTCAGATTTTAACACAGTTTTCACTATGTACTTTAAATCCCAAATCTTCATTACAGTTATAATATAAATATTCAAAATATACCAATTAAATTGGCACATACTGCCAGAGAAAGGATCATGCAATGTCATGTAGATGGTGGTATCATCTTAACAGAAACTATCTATGCAAACTACCAAATTTATTTCTCTGTGTAGGTGTATATAGTTATGAATAGGTTGTATTAGACTTGTAATTTGACTATTTTCACCTGCTCATTAGATATTCTTACAATATATACACATACACCCCATAGATATTGTAATTTTTCACACTTTCTTAATAAGTCAACAACATCCATACAAATGACTGCTGCATCTGCAACACAAACCACATGTTCATAATAGAAGATTGTTTTTAAAATAGAAACTTCACAAAAGGATCAAACAATATGCAAAATTTTCTTTTAGTATATGTTATGAAACTTACACTCTATGCTCACTTATAGTTTAATTCAAGTTTGAGTTATTGTTTAGAGTATGCTTATTGGAATTTATAACTCCAGGATATCTGACAATCTGGAGACCAAAACATTTCTGTGGCTTAAAAATTTTTGGAAGTGCGTCCAGAACCATTTGTAAAGATCATGACATAAACACCTGTTATTGAAGTTAACCTAATTGAACTATTAGATGTTAACTATAGGAGTCAAGAACTGGTAGTAGTGAGAATAATCAACTTGTTAATTAGAATAGAAGTGTAATGATAATTAACTTGTCAGTTTTAATTTTATTCTCACTTTGTATTAGTAGTTAGATTCTAATACTTTCTTACTGCCTCACTTACAACTTGTAATATTTTCTTATACATTCTTACCTTAAACCAAAAATCAAGACGTTGAATTGAGGTTTTGATACTTTCATTCTGCCTCACTTAGTAATTTTACTCTTTCACTTAGTACTTATAATCAAATTCTGATACTCTTATATCATTGATACTTTCTGTCTCAGTCACTGCTTGTAGTTTTATTGAAGTCTTAAATGGACCCAACCTCATTTCATAAAAACTGGTATGTTTTATCCCTATTTGTTTATTGATATAAAAATCCATACAAACAAGACAATTCCGTTAATCAAAATCTCATAAAAAGTATGCCAATTTGAGAGTCCAGTAGTGGATTCCTCCAATGAGAAGTACCATCAGGTTTTTTCAAAAAAGTCTTAGAACAGGACTCTGTGCCATATATTAATCCGCACAAAGGATGGTAGGAAGAACAGGTGTGCAAGAAGAAAGTCCATGAACATTGAACTCTATTGATATATGATAACTATGATCTTAGATAACTCACAAGACATGCACTGAAATTTAATTACTTATAGAGATCATGAGATTTTTCAGAGGGCAGAGTAATCATGCAGTTGTTTACAAATCTATTTGACTTGGGGAAATATGGAAACTTGATCAAAGGAGGTAGTATTGGTCTGTCAGTAGCACTGATGGGTTGTAACAGTTACTAGTTAAATAGTAAGGTTAGGTTACTTTTAGTGCAAAGGTAAACTTAAAACCATTTTGTTTACTAAGTTGATTGAAAAGCTTTATCCTGCTTGACATTGGTAATAAACTTCTCTCCTTTTATTTTATTGGACTCCTTTTGATTCAGATTTCTTACAAACTGTGTCTGACCCTGAACAAGTCATTTAGACTTTTAATTGACCCATCAGTAAAAGGATACTGATGATCATTACCAAGAATCAAGGACAACTAAAATCTAACTGGTACAGCCACGAAACAGACAAGGTCCGTTGCATTGTGAATGAATTTTGAAATTTAACCCTCATTATAAGAGAAGCTATTACCTAGTGACTATGAAAGATGAAATTCATGTCCTAAAACAAAACAAACGATAATATAAAATAATTTAATTCAGAATATCTGTAAGATTAGTAGTTCTAGATTTAATTAAAGCCATGTTTTTTGTGGCCTCAGGTGTTGTTTTTATGTATAGGTTATGATGATAATCTTGTTTAGACAGAACATGTCTGAATAGATAAAAGTGTTTTATCAAATATGATATCAGCCAGTCTTGCTTTACTTTTTCTTGCCAAACCTTGTAATAGAAATTAGAAAATAAACACATACAGTTAGTCTGATCAAGTTTTCTATCTGTAGGTAACTTTGAAGGTTAAAGGTGGAGTATACACTGCTCCATAATGACAAAAATGGTTAAAATAATTTTCCCCTTTCTACATAGCGTATAATTGTAAAGGATATAAAAGTCATGTTTCAGATACAGTATATCTTTATAAACATCATGTTTCATCTTGATTCTCTATACTAATCATAACCTGAATCTCATATCTTCATGTGTGTTATAGATACAGAAAATCTTGTTTCCAATCAAAAATATTCGTCCTCTCACTGATTAATCTATATTGATATTCACATCATTTCCTGGCCTGTGAGTAGTTCTAGCTGTAATTGTGCAGAGAGCTGAGTTGCATGGAAAATATGTTACCAACAAGGAACTAAAATCTTTCCAAATCGTCACAAGGAAACTTGATTGTGTTGTGTACATGAAACCTAATTGACTTGAACTTATTTAATGTGTAACTGTAAATTCGTAAACTAAATTGTTCAGAACTTTACATTAGGTAAATATAAACTTTGAGTTGTTCCCTCAGGTAAAGATTGTAAATTGCATATATTTGAGGATTAGTAGATTATGTCCAAAAATTTAAATGTGAAGAAGTAGAAATTTAAAGCACAACTTATGATATGAACCATGGGTAAATTATGTAGATGTTGATTACAAGTGTTATTGGCCTATGCACTAGTATCAATAATATCTGATAATTATTATATTAACTGATTCTCTTCTTATATCATACTCTATGTTTTATTTAACATAAATAATACCTTTGATATCTGACTTGTCTTGTTATAGAATCTCTATACTCCTTTATTTCTCTTACACACCCCCAGGCTTGATATACATCCAACAAACATATTACATATAACCTTAGATCTTGTGAAAACAGAAGTGGTTTCTTTTAATATTGTATTATTACAACTCTCAAGGTTCTAAAAATATAAGAGAATATTGAAAGTTTATGAGATTAAAAGAAATTAAAGTATATAACAGGTCTATTCTGATATTTGGATGCTTCACCAAGAAAACTGTTCTCAATTCAAAAGTTTAAATTGATTGGTTAATTTTTGCTTAGAAATCTTATTCTAGCATGTTTCACAATACATTACAACATTAGAGAAAAGTTAAAATCAAGATAGAAAATTTCTCTAAAGGATAGTTAGCATAAATGGTTTCATTGGAAAATAATCTAGCTCTCTAGTCTCTGATGCTTAGCAGAAAGTGGGCATAAAACCATCCAGTGTAACAGATTGAAAAGTTTAATAGAA